AGTCTAGTTCCCATATATCTTCTACGCGGCCATAATATGTTTGTATAATCCCATTTGGATATGTGCCATCTATGCGAACACCACTATTTTGATTGGTGCTCCTTTTATCTTAGGCAACTGTCTAAAATGTATTCACATTTATCTCGTACCCTTGATACGTGAGGATATGCCATGATGGTTGCCTAGCCAACAAATACAGTTGCTCATCAATATTATCATCACCTTGACATTCTTTTCGCAACCAACCACTGAAACTTTCCATGTGCTGACGCCTAATCCAAGCTTCAGTCTTCCCCGGAAACTTGGATTGTAAGAACTCCTTATGTATCTCGATGTACGGATGCACCAATGACAAGTTCTGAAGAACTGTGTAGTGTGCTTTATTGAAATAATCATCTTCCATGCCAATATATGTTTTCTTCCCCAAAGTTCCTTTACCACTGAGTCTCCCCTCGTGTCGCGATTCGAGAACGCCAATCGGGGCAAGGTCAGGAATAAAGTCAACACAGAACTCAATGACCTCCTCTGTTCCATAGCCCTGGGCGATGCTTCCTTCAGGCTTAGAACGGACTTTCACATATTTCTTCAAGACTCCCATAAACCTCTCGAAGGGGAACATGTTATGTAAGAACACAGGTCCAAGAATACTAATCTCCTTCACCAAATGAACTAGGAGGTGTGTCATGATATTAAAGAAGGATAGAGGGAACACCAACTTAAAGCTGACAAGACATTGAACCACATCATTCTGTAGAGTAGCTAGTTACACTGGATTGATTGCCTTCTGAGAAATTGCATTGAGGAATGCACATAGCTTCACGGTGGCTAGACGTACATGTGGAGGTAGAATTCCTCTTAAAGCAACTAGAAGCAATTGCGTCATAAGCACGTGGCAGTCGTGGGACTTTAAGTTTAGGAATTTCTTCTCTGACACATTTATTATACCCTTTATATTGGAGGAGAATCCCGATGGGACCTTGATGCTGCTTAGACATTCGAACATGTTGTCCCTCTCTTCTTTGTTAAGCGTGTAGCTAGCAGGACTTAAGTAATGACGTCCATCATCTGTCTTCTCTGGATGAAGGTTGTCTCGTTCTTTCATGCCCTGCAAGTCCTGGCGTGCTTCAAGTGAATCCTTTGGCTTCCCGTACACACCCATGAATCCTAACAGGTTCATACAAAGATTCTTTGTCAGGTGCATCACGTCGATTGCGTTGCGGACCTCTAGGACTTGCCAATAGGGTAGCTCCCAAAAGATGGACTTCTTCTTCCACATGGGTGCGTGTCCCTTAGCATCTTTGGGAACAGATTCGCCGCCTTGTCCCTTTCCAAATACTACTTTCACATCCTTGACCATTGCGAGTACATCTTCCCCGGTTCGGTTATGAGGCTTCTTCCGGTGGTCTGGCTTACCTTTAAAATGCTTACCTTTCTTTCTTACTTGGTGATTCAAAGGAAGGAATCGACGATGGCCAAGGTACACGACCTTTCGACATCTTTTCAAATATATACTGTCAAGGTCATCAAAACAATGTGTGCATGCAATATATCCTTTGTTTGTCTGACCTGAAAGATTACTTAAAGCAGGCCAATCATTGATTGTTACGAACAACATTGCTCATAGGTCAAAGTGTTCTTGTTTGTACTCATCCCAGACACGTACACCTGGTTTGTTCCATAAAACTAGAAGTTCTTCAACTAATGGCTTCAGATGGACATCAATGTCGTTGCCAGGTTGCCTCGGACCTTGGATGAGGATCGGCATCATAATGAACTTCTGCTTCATGCATAACCATGGAGGAAGGTTGTAGATACATAGAGTAACTGGCCAAGTGCTATGACTAGTGCTCTGCTCCCAAAAAGGATTCATACCATCTCATGCCTTAAGGCGAACCTTAAGTTTCTAGCCTCATTTGCAAACTCTAGAAATTCCACATCTATCGCTCTCCACTTTGGGACCCATCACCGGGGGTGTCAAAGATATTGTCTACCTTATGATCTTCTTTATGCCACCGCAACAACTTTGCATGGTCTTTATTTATGAACAAACGTTTTAAGCGTGGTATTATAGGAGCATACCATATAACCTTGGCGAGGATTTTCTTTCTAGGACGTTGTTCACCCTCGACGTCACCGGGATCATCGCTACCGATCTTATACCACACATTTGCTTTACATACCGGGCATTCATCCAAATTCTCGTATTCATTGCCATGGTAGAGGATGCGCGTCATTAGGACATGCATGTATCTTCCGGATTTTTAATCCCAAAGGGCGGATAACCTTTTTTGCTTCGTACGTAGTGGTGGGCAATTCATTTGGCTTCGGAAGCATCTTCTTTATGAGGTTCAATAAATTCCCAAATGCCTTGTCGATACACCATACTTTGTCTCTTCCACTCGTAGCAATTCCAAAGTTGTACCCAGCTTTTTTGCCCCTCTTCGGCGTCGGGTATAGCAACTTCCTATGATCCTCAAGCATGCGCTCGAACTTAACTTTCTCTTTTTCACTTTCGCATTCTTGTTGTGCATCACGAATGGCATCGCCAAGAGCATCACCGAGATCATCTTCTGCCGCTACCTCTTCTTCATCTCCCCCCATTGTAGTATCATCAAAAGTACCATACTGAGCAATAATGTCATCAATGTCTAAATCTTCTCCTTCACATTCTTCCATCATGACCCCGCTTTCTCCATGCTTAGTCCAACATATATAGTTTGACATGAAACCTGACTTAAGCAAATGTGAATGAAGACTCATTGAGCTTGAATATTCCTTTAAATTCTTACATATGGCACATGGACAGCACATGTAACCATCCCGCTTATTTGCCTCGGCCACACCTAAGAAATAGTGCACGCCCTCAATAAAGTCTTGGGAGCGACGATCGGCATTGTACATCCAATGGCGTGATATAATCTGCATTACATGACAAATTATGAAAACCTTGAACATAATAAAGTATTTTATTACACAACATAGATGACACACACACGGTTGATTAATTAACTAAGCCTGGCTACAACGTAAGCAATCCCAACTATCACTAAACAAACTAAAACTACAATGCACTTCAGTAACATAATTATTTCGTGATCGTACGCAACTAAAACAGACAAATCATTCTTCTGTTGAATATCAATAAGCTTCTCCTGCTGGCTCACTACCTCATAATCAGAAGCCGCTACCTCAAGCGCACCCGAATTCTGCACGTATGTAGCATAATCTTCCTCCCAAGATACCAACCATCGCATCCATTGCTCTCCCACTTTGAAATTAAAGCCAAAAATATTTAGTCAAAATATTCAAGAAAAGCGAGTCAATTAGCCATAATAATCAAATGCGTAAGAAACTCACATCGCGATCCGGGGCACTTGTAGAAAACACGACCCTTGTTGGGTCCCCTGTCTCTTGACTCGGTACTCTATCACAATCTTCCGCTTACACTTGCCGCAGAGATAATGAGAGGGAGTTTTGGCCTCGATCGTTTAAGTAACCTAACGCGAGGGCCGAGGATCCGATATCGATTGTCATCTACTTTCTATACTTATTTTTGCAAACTAGTGTAAATTTCACATTTTTTAAAATAATATATTTAAACAAAACTAAAATTATTTATTTATCTAACTAAACCATAAAATATGTACTATGTATAATAGTAAAATACCAAACTATCAAGTGATTTTACTATTGTAAATCATCATATGATTTTGAGTTAAAAATGACATAGAAATCACATAGCTCAAAAACATGTTTCAATAAATAACCATCCGTACTAGTTGACCTTGCTTACGTGATCATCTCGGCGAGCATTTCTCCACCGGACGGCACCGTACTTGGCCAAGGAAGAACTCCGATTCTACGAGGAAGGGAACACGGTCTTCCACGACCGTTGCCGCTCTCCCTCGTAGAATCAAAGCTCCTTCTTGACGTCCGTTACCGCTCGGCAGAGAACATGCTTGTCGAGATGAACACGGTCCGCAATTTCAACTAGTACGGATTTTCTATAATTTTCTAACTATTTTCTAAGTTTTTCATTTCATGGAAAAAATAATTCTAAGATCACGTAAGCCGCCGAGGACGAGGATGGCGCGTGCTCCAGCGAGGATGAGCGAGGCGTGATTTTGATGAACTAATTTAACTTTTGTTTATCCAAACATATATGCAAATCATCATGTGATTTTGAGCTAAAAATAACATATAAAATCATAATAAAGTCCAACATATAAAGTTACATATGCATCTACATCGCAAAATGAGATAAGCTACTAATAAAATATAAGAGGATTAAGTTTGTTACCTCCAAAATCGAAGAGCAACACCAATGGAGGGGGAGAGAGCAAGAACAACAGCAAGCTGAAGAACAGAGGTGGTGAGTTTGAATGAAATGGCTCAGGTTCGGGGAGGAAGAAATGAGCTGGTATATAGGCCGGGATAATTAGTCCCGGTTAGAGGGCCAAACCGGGACTAAAGATTAATATTTATTCCCGGGACATCACCCAAACCAAGACTAAATGTGTCCCGGTTGGTAATACCAGCCGGGACTAAAGATCCCTGTCCCGCAGACGACCGTTGGGCAGGGATCTTTAGTCCCGGGGAAAAAAAATGCCAAAACTAATGCTAAATTGAGACATCGTTCTAAAGTATGTTCTCTAGTGATAGCTTGGACGTGGATTCTGAGAGATTTCACCTTGGCCTATGCAAATCTTATAATTTTCATGCGACGGCTGGCATGATTGTAACAGTGCAAGTTACATCGCAATTTACGCCTAGTTTACATGATCCCTACGGGTAAACTAAAATCAACCACGGACAATAAATACTTGATGAAAACTCTTCTTGGAGAATCCAGAGCACCTTTGGAGAATTCGAGTCGCATTTGTATGCATCAGTATCTCAGCTTGCATTGGTTTTCCCATCTAATAGATTCTGAATACACCTATAAAAACCACATCAAGACCACCAACACAACACCTCACGGCATTTCTCATTCTGCAAAGATGAGGAGGACGACCACCTTCTTCCTCCTCTCGCTCACCATTCTCCTGGGCACATCACTCGCCGTCGGCGGCGTCACCGATGTGTCGCAGGAGGCTCAGCTCAGAAAGTTTATGTCATCCAGGGCCTTGAAAAGGCTGACGAAGAGGGCCAGCAGGGTGAACGAGGCCGAAGAAACCGACCCATGGGCCGACCCCAACGCCTTCGCCCACCTGCCCGACCGCTGCAAGGGCCCGGCAAGCGGCAGCAAGGAAGCCGACAGGGTCCTGGGGCTGCCGGGCCAGCCTCCACGGGTCAACTTCCGGCAGTACTCCGGGTACGTGACGGTGAACGAGGAGCACGGCCGCGAGTTGTTCTACTACTTCGTCGAGTCCCCCTACGACGCCGCATCTAAGCCGCTGATCCTATGGCTCAACGGAGGTAATTAATGAAACACGGGCGGGTCAGCAGCATAGTTGTCGTCGTCGTCCAGGACGACGAGTTGCTATACCGGCCGTTTCATGGACGTGTCGATCGACGTGTATGTGCAGGGCCAGGATGCTCGTCTCTGGGATTCGGGGCCATGAAGGAGCTGGGCCCCTTCCGTGTCAACCCCGACGGCAAGACGCTGAGAAGGAACAAGCACTCCTGGAACAACCGTACGTGAAGCTAGCGAGCTTGTTGGCTGTGCCGGCGCCGCCGCACGTACGTAGCATAGATCATGGCAGAATTTGTCAGTGTGACTGATCGATTAGAGTGCTTGCAGTGGCTAACGTGCTCTTCCTGGAGTCGCCTACGGGCGTCGGGTTCTCCTTCTCGAGGAACGCCAGCGACTACGACACAGAAGGCGACCACAGGACCGCCGAGGACACGTACGTGTTCCTGGTCAAGTGGCTGGAGAGGTTCCCCGAGTACAAGGGCCGCGACTTCTACATCACCGGCGAGAGCTACGGCGGCCACTACGTCCCCGAGCTCGCCACCGTCATCATGCACATGAACCGCTTCCCGGGCCTGCTGACTCGCATCAACCTCCAAGGCATCTTCGTGAGTGATGCATCCATGTCTCGTCGTCGTCTGCTTGCCGTTCACGTTCACTGCATGCATGTCTCCGTCGATCTGAACTGGCGATCTTCTCATTCTTATATGTCGCTTGATTAACTAGTTCGGCAACCCGTTGCTTGACGACTTCATGAACGATAAGGGAGCACTCGAGTTCCTGTGGACCCACGGCGTGATCTCCGACGAGGCCTGGGCGAATATCCTCGCCAACTGCACCTTCACCCCGGCCGACGACCATCACTGCTTCAATGCGGCGCACTCGTTCACGAGAGGGACCTACGATAGATACGACATCTACGCGCCGGTGTGCCTGCAGTCTGACAACGGCACCTATTTCGCCAGCAGCCACGTGCGTAACATCCATCGGACACCTCTTCATTCTCGTGTGATCTCTGCACTACAAAGGTGTGTGCTGATGATTGCAATTTCTTTCTGTTGCGTCAGTCGTTGCCCGGCTACGACCCGTGCAGCTACCACTACATCGAGCCGTACCTTAACAACCACGCGGTGAAGCAAGCTCTGCACGCTCGAGTCGACACCAATTGGACAGGCTGCAGGTAAGTGCCGACCCCCAATGCTTGCTTGGATGCTGCGCGTTTATTTGCATTCTCAGCCAGCCCCGTCTGATGCCTAGTGTACTCTTTATGTTTGGTTCAGTCAAGTAATTTGGGACTGGGGCGATGCCCCCGAGTCCATGGTGCCAATCATCAAAAGGCTGGTCAATAATGGGCTAAAAGTATGGATATATAGGTACTGTTGAATATATGCCTTCTGTCATAGACAATGAAAAGAACACATGATAGTTCAAATTTCGCCAAAAAGAATGAAGCATACAAGTGCATAACCATTTTCCCCCTGAAATGTTCTGCAGTGGTGATTTTGACTCCGTATGCTCACTTTTGGCAACGCGGTATTCTGTCAATGATCTCAATCTAACCATCACAACAAAGTGGTACCCTTGGTACACCCCTGATAGTGAGGTAATTAAAGAAGGTTTAGAATAGAAAAGAAATAGTTTCGATTGAGATGTGATTTTGGATTTTTTTTCATGTGGGATGCCAATGGACGCAGGTGGGTGGCTATATTCAGCAATACCAAGAAGGCTTTACGTTTGCGTCAGTGAGGGCAGCTGGCCATTTGGTCCCTACTTTCCAGCCAAAGAGATCACTTGTTCTGCTCTACGCTTTCCTGAAGAACATGCTCCCTCCTGCTGATCCCAAGTACAGACCCCCTACTGGCCTGTGACCCGAAACTGAAGAACTGAGCAGTCGTTCAATAAATTCCCTATAGGGGCTTCGCCCCCTCCAGTTTCTTCAAAAAAGCATTTCCACTTCTAGTTCCGTTTGGGATGATTGATCATGTCTTTTTTTTTTCTATACTTCCTTATTACAATGTCTTGTTGCGTATACACAAGCTTAAAGAACGAGTTAGTAGTACATTGAGCTCATGATCTTGTGGCTTAAACAACAACGTTTGCTGAGAAGCTTTGTAATGGGTGCCCAGTTGGTGTTCATCTCAAAATGAATAAAGAGAATTTAATAGCCTTCCTTTTGCAGGATGATTATCGTAGAATCACAGTCGTTGCATTTTTGCCTAAAGTTTGTGATGAGTAAGTTGAATTGTAAAAAAAGTAACTTTTGGTGGATGTTGACTCCGCAATGTTGTAGTACCCCATCACCTGAGATTCGGACTACTTAGCCCACAATTTTTTGTTTTTTGTGACTATCCCATAACTTTTTTTTTGCGACCGTGCGTTTGCATGTTTTTCATTAAGAGGAAGTAGAATTTTGGATTACAGGAGCAGGCTTCCGAATCCGATGGTAATGAAAATTACCATCAGTTGCCAAGGACCAATAAAACACTAGGCAATATTACAAACCAAATTTGCCACAAAAGCGAAAAGGCTCCCTCCAACTACAGCAGCAGAAGCAGCGTGCTCAGCTTCCTGTACCCTGCTAGAGACCACTCTTGCGCCTCCTCCACGAATTCGCCGGCTGAGTCGATGGGCCTCCGAACGTCCTAGCATTGCTCTCCTTCCATATGGACCAGCTGATCAAGAAGAACAGGGAGTCGAAACCCGATCTAGCTATCTTAGGCACCGATTTCCTCTCCCGCAGCCACCAGACGAAGATGTTATCATAGCTTACCGAAATGGCGTGGTCCAAATGCAGCTTCCTGAGCACGGCTGACCACAGCTCCCTGCTGAAGACGCACCCGAGGAGAAGGTGATCTAGAGTTTCAAGGCTTTGGTCGCAAAGCACACCTACGTCAGTGTGCTGCAAGCCGTGCCTCCGCCTCCTCTCAGCAGTCCAAACATCTTCCGTGCAAAGCAAGCCGGAAGAAGTTTTTAACTTTCGAAGGTGCGCTGGTCTTCCATAGTTGTTTAGCACCCAATGGTCTCGACGAGCCAATGAACATGGCGGTGTAAACTGATGCCGAAGAGTAACACCCGACATTTGACCAACGCCAGCAGAGCTCCCAAACGTGAACGTAATCCAGAAGCGCCTCCACCGTCAGAGCCCTGGCAATGTCTCGAACCCACGCCCTATGGTGAAGTGCCCGAGCGACGTACCTATGGTGGCCAGCGTTCCGCACTGCGGCGAACAGGGCCGGTGCCAATTCCTTGATGCTTCTTCCACTGATCCATCTGTCGTGCCAAAACAAGGTTGACTCGCCATCTCCAAGCACCGAGAAACTCTTGAAACACCGCAGCAACCGCCTGCTCATGATTTGCTGGCAGAAACGCCCAGCATGACTTCGGGGCAGTCCGGCTCAGCCATTGCCACCTGACTTGTAAAGCGATCCCCATCATTCTCAAATCAGCAACACCTAGGCCACATAGCTCGCGAGGGCGGCAGACGGTTGGCCAGGCAACCCGACAACGGCCTACGGCGACAGTGTCGCTCCCACTCCAAAGGAAGGCCCGGCGACGGCGATCGATCGCCTCAATGGCCCAAGAGGAGAGGCACAACGACTATTGACAGGTGCACAGGGATCGCTGATAGTGTCGACTTGACGAGCGTTGTCCTGCCTGCTTCATTTAACATGTTTACCTTCCAACCCCAAATCTGAGCAGCGACAGCATCGATTAAGTACTGCTTGTCACTCTTTTTGACCCTGCGAACCGAGAGTGGGACTCCTAGGTAGCAACACGGGAAGTCAACAATCGGGCAGGTAAGTGAAGGACCGCAAACGACGATCAGAGGAGGGGTGGCTCGAAGCCGTAATTTTTTTTCGAAACTTTTCGACCACTGTCCCAAACTCACCACTAAACACGCAAACTAAACACCGTGATACCCACGACCTAAATAATTGGGTGGATGCTCCCTAGGAACACAACAGGACACCACAAAGTCAACGCAACAGACGAAAAACAAATCGGAGCTCAAACGAACAAACTGCGGAGAAACAGCACGCTAGCAACTCACAACAGACCTGTCCGGGAACTGCACCGGACACGTCCGGTAAGCACAACCTCACAAATCCTGCTGAACTGAGCACAGTCAGCAAATACCGGACACGCTCGGTATAAATACCTGACACGTCCAGTATGCTGAATAGCAAAGAGTGACTTTGTGAGAAAAATCAAAAACCCTAAATAGTGTCCAAAAAGTATGAAATTTTAACCACAACTTCTAGACACCTTGAGGTAGGTCTCCACCAAATTTCAGCTCCAAACTCGAAAGTTTGACCTACCGGACACATCTGACATTTGTCTGGTATTTACGAGCAGTTCTCAGAAAAAATTAATTCAACACCCAAAACTTGATCAAATCAACTCAGAATAACTTGAAACTTTGCAAAGAGGATTACCACAGACTTGGTAGGCTACTCCTAGAAGATCATCGCCCAAGACAAAGCCAATCAACGGGAAAACTAGAAAATGTGACGAACACTAGTTTTTCAACCCTAGAACTTGATTCGCCCCGATCTATGAACTCATGAGGAATTAGATGAAATCCTTCGGTGGAAGGGATCAACTCATGTCCTAGTCCATCTCAGATAAAAAAATAATGAGTCAAAACGCTCTCAAAATGACGAATCGAGCCAAGAAAGAAAGGGGGGAAAACAAGAACACGGAGAACACGAACGCGATTCACAAAAGCACCTCACAAATCGAATCCCGGAGGACACGAGGAGGTTAGGGCCTCCATTCCCAACCAAAATCAGAGGTTCAATTACACCGGGACACTAGTTCATCGGTGGACCTCTTGAGAAGAACCTAGAGAGGGAGGTGGAAGAATGAAGTGGCAAGAGGTGAGGGACATTGGGGCTCTCTCATCCTTATTTAACAGGGCTATTACACAATCCCAAACATGCCACTAGATATTTTGTGTCGAACCACTGAACCCGAGGGTGTTATGGTTTAACCCGAGGTAGTCTTCATCTGACGGCCACCGCGCCCTTCATGAGATAGCTTCGCCTCGACGTGAACTCCTCGATGCCGCCACGTGCCATCCGTTCCTCCTCGGAACCTCCGCCCGGGTTTTGAGGCCCAAACCTGAAAACCGTCCACCCGGTGGTTTTGAGGCTCAACCCACCAAACCGCCCATGAGTAGCATACTCCATACGCGTCCCCGCAACTCGACACGTGTCACCTCTGTCCTCGGCCGTCCGGCCACCAAGTCTTCCAGAGCCTCCGCTCGACTTGCACATCTGCCGTCTTGACTCGATTAACACGGTCACTCCCATGTACACTTGTGCTTGTCAATATCCCCAGATGTCAGCCACCGTGGCTGGTCACCAGGCCTCCTGGTCCCTCGGTCCAAGCCTCATGTCCGTCCTTCAACGGTCCCAGTCCATCAGCACGGCACGTCTCTACTTGACCTTCACCTCGCCATCGACCACCGCCTCCGAGCTCCACACCTGCGCACCACAAGCTAAGAGATGTTGCACAACCCAACTCACACCATGGTTTGTTCACAAACTCAACCCAAGACGCGAATCACGTTGACAATTACTCATCACAAATCTGAACTACAAGGGCACATCAACCTTGTGTTCGCAATCTCCCCCTTGATGAGCGCATTGTCAACACCAACAAATGACAGTAGAGAGAAAGCACAAAAGAAGAAGAGAAAAACAAAAAGCTCACCCAAATGACCAAAAGCCAAAGAAAAGCCAAAATCGGGTCATTTGAAATGAGTGAAACTTGGCCCCCAAAGACATGGGCAATGGCTCGACGCAACCAAGTAAATCACAGCTAGCCCTAAAGAAGAGGCAATGTGCTCAACACCACTAGCAAAGCTCAAAATGCCTGAAAATAGCTAGACCCTCCAGAAGAGGCAAAGTCTCAACACATCTAGCAAAAGCAACTCAAGGTGCAACTCTCCCTAAACAAGTGCAATCTCCCAAATGAATGCATGCACTCAACAAGATCTCCGTGGATATTTCTCATCTCTCAAAACTCTCCCCCTTATTGACACATGCACTTATCAAGCACTGAAAAATTATCACTCCCCCTCAAAATATGCTATGAATGCAAGGGGATGCAGAAATGCAGATGCTTTAGGAGTATAGCAATCAAATTGAAAGGATGCTCTAACTGGAGCTGTTATGTGTGTGTAGCAACAAATACAAGTGCTAGCAAATGCTCAAACTGATCAAGTGAGACAAAATATGACACTTAAGCAATTTTGATCAAGTTTAAGCAATTCAAGAAAGGGTTCACCACGGAAAGTAGCACATAGCAGGTATAAGCTAGAAATCAACCTAGTGCTAACAAGTGTATACAAGGTGAACTACCCTAAGCAGCGGTCACACATCATGTCAAAGATGAACCTAAGACTTGTGTTTTCATCAAATTTTAATTTTATCAGAGTATGCAGCTTGACACAAGACCATAGTCAAAACATGTGTGTGTGAGAGGTTATCTGTACCGTCAGGCCTAACTTAGTAACCATGCCAAGCCTATGTCATAGACAATCAGAAGCTTAAGACAATGGTTTCGGCATCCACTACAAGGCTCAAGTTCATCCAAATGTGTAATTGGAAGCCATCTCGATACCTTGACGTAGGACAGTACAGACCCATCTCGATCTTTTCTCATCACTTAGCTTGTTTTTCAAGTTTTAGCACAAAAATCTCCGAGTTGTCCAAGCAAGTGAGTAACTCAAAGCATGAGACATAGCAACCTAGCATATAAGTGATAGCATCGGGGATCTCAACAAATCCTACACATGCTAGTGCCAATCCCAGCGGTGAACAAATTTCAAGTTTCAATAGTGTTTAATCATGTTCACAAT